TGAAGCAGATACAGACACCTTCTGTAGCCCTGGCCAGCGTGGCTCAGTGGTTGGAGCGTCGGCTTGCACACCTACGGCTCTTGGGTTCGATTCCTGGCCAAGGGCATGTTCCTGGGTTGCAGGTTCGATCCCCGGCCCCAGTCAGGATGCATGTGGAAGGGAACCAATCGATGTGTCTCTCACATCAATGTTTCTCTCTCTCCCCCTTCTCTCTCCTCACTCCTTCCCACTCTCTCTCTCTCTGAAAACCAATAGAAAAAAATATCCTCAGGTGAGGATTTAAACAAAAACCTGTAATGTTCAATGACCTCGAGTTCAGCGTGTGGGTCAGGGTTAGGTGCAGGCAGGCACCCAGGAAAGGAAGCGCCAGCCGACACTCACCAGCTCAGCGTGATGGGTGCACCCCTGCTGTTGTCACTTGTCCCCACTCTGGCAGCCAAGCACAGCCGCAGGCCATGCAGCCCTCGACCTCCTTTCAGACCAGGGCGGGCCTTGTGACCCAACGCGGGCTGGCTGTCACTCAGGCCCAGGCCCTTCCACAGCAGCTCAAGGGCGGCCAGAGAAATTGGCCCCGACCCTCCTGTAGTGAGGCCCAGTATGTCCTTCAGGACGACCCAGTGACAGGGCAGGAGGACACCGACCGGGGCCACCCGTCCACTCCTCTGGGGAGCGGGGACTTTAAGCTGAGCTGTCCAGCTGCAGGCATCTCGCCTCCTCCCTCTCTTCCTCCTTTATCCTAACACCCTCTTGTCCCTCCCCAAGGAACTCTAGGAAGGACGCTGGGCACCGGCCTGGGCTTGGGGAGGAGGCGTGGGAGGGAGCGGGGGACATTTGTCTCCCTCCAAGCACTAAAGGGAGCCTGGGGTGTTCGGTCCGCATCAGAGAGCACGAGTGAGTTCTGCATCAGAGGGGGCGAGGTCCGTCTCAGGGAGCGTCTCGCCTGCCCTCCCAGCACCAGGCTGAGTCAGCTGAGAGTCACGCACGCAGTGACAAGCACATGGTGGGGATGCAGGGACGAGGCCTCCATGGAGCGTCATGATCAGGCCACGGCGGTGGGAGGGAACCCAGTGCATCCAGGGCCTCGGCCAGCTGGCGGGACCCCGGGGCAGACCTGGGCTCCTGCTCCTTGCCCGGTGCTGTCAGGACTCAGACCCGGGCCCTGAGGCTGAGCCCAGGCCAAGGCTGCGCCAATGACAAGTGCCCGCGCAGCAGAAGGAAGGCCCGGCCGAGCGAGGTCTGCGGGTGAATTAGTTCCTGGGACTCCGAGGAGGAATGAGAATGGAGGCCTTCCCTGGCTTCGTCCCAGAGCAGAGGCTGCACCCCAAACAGATGGGAAACCTCAGCTTGGGAATCCAAGGTCAGCTTCATGCCACGGGGAGGCCATGGGGAGGCCACGGGCACCTCCCTGGGCAGCAGAGCCCACCTGCCAGCCCAGCAGGTGCTCCGTGCTGCCGCCACGCCCTCTGCCCTCCCGCCACCCCTGCTTACCAACCTGTGAGCCGCAGCCCACAGCTCGGAGTCTGAGGAGACGTCACCTAGATACACGCTAAGAGCACCCTTGAGAGAAAGAGCCTCCGTTTCCCCGCTGTCCAGTCCAGCTTTCTGATAAGTATAGGGTGACTGCCCAGCAGACAACCATTGCTCCGTTCCTGACTCTCAAAGTAGATACACAGTAGCCTCAGCCGCCCCGCGGCATGGGGGGAAGCAGGCTCTGGGCTAATGTTCAAAACCCCGCTTCCCCACACTAACTGGTGCACACGGGCAAGTCACTTAACCTCTCTGTGCCTCATTTTCCTCGTCTGTGAAGTGGGCTGACAACACTGCGTCCCGGGTGGTTGTGAGGCTTTAACGGCTCATCTACGTAAAGCACCTGCAACACTGCCCGGCCCACGCAAGGGCTGCGTTACCGCCAGCATCACATCCTTCCCACAATGCACTGTGAGCTGCCGTCGGGGCTTAGAACCCCTCAGGCCTGCCCAGCGCGGGAGGGAGACGTGGGGGATTGCTGGGGCGCCGCCGGGGAGTGTCAGCGAGCTGGGCTGCTCAGCTGGGCAGCCTGGTTAGTGCGGGGCCCGGCCCAGGAGACAGTGTGAGGGACAGGGCCCAGGTTCCTTCCAGGAGCTGCTCTAAGTGAACCTTACAACCTGCTGTCCCTCTGGTGACAGAGAGCCTCTGCCTCCTCTCCCCAGGGACAGGACAGCTGGCGAAGGCTGCCCCGCAGGCCTACCTGGCCAGAGGGGTGTCGGGCCACCTCGGTTTTTCTCTTCCTCCGTCTGACCTCCGCCAAAGTCGCAAGCAGGACTGGGTTTGCCAAGCAACAGTGACATCAACTCAGACTTGGTTGAGTTGATTTCTTTTCTTTTTTTAAAATATATTTTTGTTGATTTTAAAGAAAGAGGAAGAGAGACGGAGAGAGAGAAACATCAATGAGAGCGAGAGCGAGAAACATGGATTGGCTGCCTCCTGCAGGCCCCCTCCTGGGGAATCGAGCCTACAACCCGGGCATGTGCCCCGACTGGGGATCAAACCTGTGACCGCTCAGGGCTTGGGCCGATCTCTGATTTCCCCCTGTATCTCGATGCCTCTCGCCAACTTCTTTTCTCAGGTCCCAAAACAGGCTCCCAGGTGGGCTCACCTCTGCGGTCTGAGAGCAGAGCTGGGGAAGGCTTGGGCTGTGGTCTCCGGCACAGCCCGCCCCGCCCCCCCAGCCACCAGGCCTGGCCTCCTCACCCCAAGGCCTCCCCAGCAGCCCACCTGCCCAGCCAGGCTCCAGCCATGCAGGCAGCTCTGAAGCCTCACTCTGCACCCGGGAAGCAAATGCACAAACCAGGCAGAGCACGCCTGCCGCTTCCTGAGGGCGGGCACTACGTGTCAGCGAGCTGGGCTGCTCAGCTGGGCAGCCTGGTTAGTGCGGGGCCCGGCCCAGGAGACAGTGTGAGGGACAGGGCCCAGGTTCCTTCCAGGAGCTGCTCTAAGTGAACCTTACAACCTGCTGTCCCTCTGGTGACAGAAGAGCCTCTGCCTCCTCTCCCAGGGACAGGACAGCTGGCAAAGGCTGCCCCACAGGCCAACCTGGCCAGAGGGGTGTCGGGCCACCTCGGTTTTTCTCTTCCTCCGTCTGACCTCCGCCAAAGTCGCAAGCAGGACTGGGTTTGCCAAGCAACTGTGACATCAACTCAGACTTGGTTGAGTTGATTTCTTTTCTTTTTTTAAAATATATTTTTGTTGATTTTAAAGAAAGAGGAAGAGAGACGGAGAGAGAGAAACATCAATGAGAGCGAGAGCGAGAAACATGGATTGGCTGCCTCCTGCAGGCCCCCTCCTGGGGAATCGAGCCTACAACCCGGGCATGTGCCCCGACTGGGGATCAAACCTGTGACCGCTCAGGGCTTGGGCCGATCTCTGATTTCCCCCTGTATCTCGATGCCTCTCGCCAACTTCTTTTCTCAGGTCCCAAAACAGGCTCCCAGGTGGGCTCACCTCTGCGGTCTGAGAGCAGAGCTGGGGAAGGCTTGGGCTGTGGTCTCCGGCACAGCCCGCCCCGCCCCCCCAGCCACCAGGCCTGGCCTCCTCACCCCAAGGCCTCCCCAGCAGCCCACCTGCCCAGCCAGGCTCCAGCCATGCAGGCAGCTCTGAAGCCTCACTCTGCACCCGGGAAGCAAATGCACAAACCAGGCAGAGCACGCCTGCCGCTTCCTGAGGGCGGGCACTGTGCCTCAGAGCAGTAGCCGATGGGGGAGGCCCCTGGGGAAGGATGAGCGGGCTGGGGATTTCAGGGCCGCCTGAGGCTCTCTGGGCCAGGGTCCCGCACACAGCGATAGGCGCTGCTGTGCTAGGAGCCAGCCGGCCACGCCCCGTCTGGACTGAAGGTCCTTTGGAGGGTCCATCATGCCCAGCGCTGCCCAGCCTGGTCACCTCCTCAGCCGGGAGCCCAGCAGAGGGGAGTATTAATAACTCGGCCGTGACAGGCACCGCTGTGAGAAGTCCTCGCAGACGCGAGGAGTGTGAGCCTCCGGGAAGTGTCTCCTTGGCCCCCTCCTGAGACAAGGTCAGGACGCCTGTAGGAGCTGCATCTGCAGCCAAGTCCCAGCATCTGCCTGTGGCCAGCAAGCCCCCCCTTCGGAGGAAAGGGGAGCAGCAGGTGGCGGAGGACCAGGCCCAGAGACAGGGAGTCTGCTTTACTTCCGCCTCTGCTCCTGGACCCCGCTGGACCCCAGGCCAGGCGGCTCGGGCCTCGCTTTCATCATTTGCAAAGTGGTGGTGAGAAAGCCTGCCTTCCCCCAGGCAATAATGCCAGAAATGCTCATGATTAATCACCTTTATTGAGCACTTAGCTCTGGGCCCTGGGCTCACCTGTTATCTCAATTCTGTCCCCAACTCCATGAGGCAGGCACCATGATGATCCCATTCCACAGATGGAAACACTGAGGCCAAGAGAGGTTTGAGGCCCAAGGTCACAGCAGTTATGTTGTGGAGCCATGGAAATCCATGGTGCATGGCTATACCTGCGGAGATGAAGCCTTGATGCTGAGTCCCCGACAGCAGGGACCTGCTCTCTTCCTGGGCCTGGGGTCGTGTTCCCCCAGGGAGGCGGGCAGCATGACGGAGAAGTTAAAACAGTCTCTGCATTCTGGAAGCCGACAGTAGTGGGAACTGTTTAATTTTTTTAAAAAATGTTTGAATATTTAAATGTAAAAGATACAAAAGTGTATTTACTAATAGAGAAGTCTCCCTCTCAGCCTGTTCCCCGGGGGCAACCACTGTTACTAGTTTCTTGTAACCAATTATTCCAGGAGTAATCGATGCCTGTTTACAGTCTTGTTCACTCCCGGTGGCTGGGGGCTGGGGGCTCTGTGCCCTCCCAGTGGGTGGGGGCTGGGGGCTCTGTGTACCTCCCGGTGGGTGGGGCTGGGGGCTGGGGGCTCTGTGTCACTCCCAGTGAGTCGGGGCTGAGGGGCTCTGTGTCACTCACATCACTTCCTCCCTCCTCTGCTTTCCAGGGGCCCACCGAGCCCACAGCTGGGAAGAACGCTGTGCTATGACAGCGGCCAAGGCCCAGGAGCAAGGTGAGGACCTCTGACCGCCCGGCCTTCTGTCCTGGAGCTTCGACTGCTACCTCAGGACATGGTTGTGCAGGACAGTGCGGACCCAGGGGACGCCGGGCTGGTGCTCCTGGAGCCCTTCCTGCACCAGGTGGGGGGGCACCTGAGTGTGATGAAGTATGACGAGGACACCGTGTGCAAGCCCCTCGTCTCCCGGGAGCAGAGGTTCTATGAATCCCTGCCCCTGGCCATGAAGCGGTTCACCCCGCAGTACAGAGGTGAGTGTCCGCGCAGACGCGCTGGGGCCGCCGCACTGGGCCAGGCCGGTCTGGTGTGTGTGGCGGTTGCCATGGAGACATGCCCGTCTCCCGCAGCCAGTTCACTGCCCTAGTTTCTCTGAACTCTTCACGTCCGGGTCTGGAGCATAATAGCACTTGGAGTCCTTCCAAATTAGCTCAAGCACCGGCTTCGAGGAATTAGAAACCGAGTGAAGTGGGCACGTGGCTGGGCTTGGAGCACGTGGCTGGGAAACAGGCCCGCGGGGACCTCCTGCCCTGGGCCTAGGACAGGACATGGCGGAGCGGGGACACCTTGGGTTTAGGAAGCCTCGTCCAGGGCAAAGCAGGGGCGTGGGCTGCCTTCCAGCAGGGCCTGAGGAGTCGGCACGGAGCGGTGTGTCTTCTGATCTGAGCAGCAGGGGGCTCTGGCGGAGACGGCTGGTGGGGGGCTGCCCACTTCGGGCCCAGGCAGGACCTCCCGGCAGAGCCTCGGCTGTGGTCCACGCCCGGCCTTCTGTACACGAGGTTCCCGGGCCCAGGCATGCCTGCCAGCCCCAGGCCCCAGGGCTCAGCGAAAAGGCCTCCTTTAGAGGGTCCAGCTGTGACAGCGAGCGCTGCCCTCCTTGTCCAGGTGTCGTAGTGCATCGGCGCCCCAGTGCGGCTGATCTCAGACTGCACCCGATCACTATGGGAGGGAGAGAGAGAGAGAGAGAGAGAGAGAGAGAGAGAACATGCAGGTTCCCGGGGCCCACCCCAGAGCTGGGAATCAGAATCCCGGGATTAGGGCCCAGGGATCTGTACTCAGCATGCTCCCATTTGGGACCCACTGGTTGGGGGCCGAGGCCTGAGCCCTGGGCACTGCTTCAGTCTGGCCTACCGGGCCCTCCTGAGCGTCTGAGACCAGACAAATGCATCAGACACTAGACGGGCACACAGCTGGGGTGCAGCCTGGGCGGGCCTCCCCTGGGGCCTTCTGGGGCTCTGTGGTCACTGCCCATCTTGTCAGAGCACCACTGGAATGAATGTCTGTCCTTTCGAGACTGAACTCAACCCAGAAAGGGGTGGCAGGGCCTTGCATGGGTGGCCTCCTGCCAGCGGCATTTCACGCTTCGACACAGCTCTGGAGCACAGGCCCCGGCTAAGCAGGAGAGTGAGCGAGGCTGCCGCCCCTTCCCGTCCCCATGTGCCCGTTCCTCCAGGTGGGACTGCACCACCCTCAGGCACCGGTCTATTTTGCACCCCACCCCTGCCCTGACTGCCCCCTCGGGCAGGGCCCATCCCAGATCCAGCCGCCTTGGGGCTCTGCTAGGTGATAGATTAATCTGACCGAGGCTCAGAGCTACACACATCACCAGCCACGGGGTTGCTTCTGTCCCCGCCTTGGGCTTCCCTCAGGAGATGGTGTTCCCAAACATCTGCTTCAGGGAACCGAAGACACCCCCCAGGTGAGACCACGCAGCCCTGCGGAGGGGAGAGTGAGGGGGAGGGGGAGGCAGAGCCCCGGTCTAGGCGACACCCAGTCTGAGGTTCCAATGACGCAGACACGCTGACCCCCTCACGAGCACACCTGGGGGCCCACCTAAGGAAACGCACGTCTACAGACACTGGCGTAGGCCCCGCGGGAACCCTCACCCTCAGGGCAGGGAGCTGAGGTGGGGAGAGGGAAAGGGACCCTCAGGGCTCTCGGCTGGGCAGGCGTCATCTCACACGGTTAGAGTCCCATCAGCTCGGCCTTGGTGGCCCCTCGGTGCCCAACACAACTCCCTGTGCGCAGTTGGCGGGTCCAGACCCAATCCTCACAGCAGCCCTCTGTGGTGGGGACAAGTAGCCCCATTTCACGGTGGGGAAACTGAGGCAGAGAGGTCACCTGACTTGCCTCGGGCACACAGCCAGTGGGGGGCAGAGCCAGGATCCAAAGCCTCAAGGTCTGACTCCCAAGTGTGGCTCTGGCTCCTCCAGCTACTCTTCCTGAAGAGATGGACTCCCCAGATGCCAGTGCCCAGGCCGTCCAGCCCAGTGAGGAAGGGACGGGACGTGCCCAGGGCCACTGAGCTAGCGACCTGCGGTGCCACTCCAGTGCCCACAGGCTGCCACGGGGTCTCCCTTTTTCTCCCCAATCGGAGGAGCCCCGGCGTGAAGGGCTGTTTCTGAAGTGGCCACTGCACCACGGGGCACACCCCTCCCTGTCACCGCCCGCACTGTGATGGCCTCAGGGCTGCTGGGCAGGGTCCTCGCTCCCAAGTCCAGCCTCCCCGAGCCAGGCGCTCACCCTGGGCTTTTGCTGGCTCCCTCTGCCTTCCAGCCTGCCTGCCGGCTCCGGGTGAGTGAGAACGCGCTCCCAGGTCTAGCTGGCTAGTGGGTGAGCCTGGTTCATGTTACAGACAGCGAGCGGCAGATAAAGGCTCTCATGAGCTTAAAAATAAATACGGGACAGAATATTCAAGGCTGAGGAAGCTGCCCAGCTAAACCTAAGCTGCTGAGACAGTGGCATGGCGATCGTGGCGGTGGGCACTCGTCTGCCCAGCTGGCACAGCAGCAGGTCGTGCTGCTCGGGAAGGCTGGTGAGCAGGCAGCCGGGGCAGCGTTCTGGGAGCCCATGGGCCTCTGAGGCCTCGTCCCCATGGACACACAGGGTAAGCGGGAGGCCAGGCCAGGGCCCACATGGCTGTTGACGAAAAGAACGATCCAAGTCTCTAGCAGCCTGGATTCCACCGACACCCGGCTCCCGTCATGGAGGCAGCTCGAGACTGTTCGCAGGGCCGGTCTGCGCTGGGCCCCAGGCCTCAGGAGGAAGGGCGCCTCCCAGGAAAGCCTCAGCCCCCTGGGACAGCTGTCCCCCTCCACAGCCAGGTCGGGTGCGGCTCCTCGGGGCACCAGGCCTCTCTTGAGCCCCTGTGACCACAGTCAGCCTGCGCAGCGCTGGTAACAGATGAAGGCCCCCGAGGCTGTGCAGGGCGTGGCAGTCACTGCGGGGACCACGGGGTCGCAGTCCTTGCCTGCCACCTGCTCTGTGGGCTTGGTCTAGGGAGCGCGCCGGTCTCCGGTAAGCGGAACTGTGGGGTTCAGTACAGTATTACCCTTAGAGTCACTGTGGCTTTACAGGACACGGGGCCCGGGGTGAGCGAGGAGAGCAGAGTATTTTAGGAGCTGGAGGAAACGAGCGTCACTCTCGGGCTGCAGAAAGAGGGCACCGGGAATCTGAGGTGACAGGACCCCTGGGATCGCGCTGGCTGGGCAGACGGCTCTGGAGAACAGCTGCTGAGTTAGGGAGAGGGCCGAGGTCCACTCGACCAGCCTCGGAGGGCCGGGTGGGATGCAGGCAGGAGCTCAGCCTCCTTCAGAGCGGGTTCCACAGACATTACCACGAACGCTGACAAGGTGACCCTGTGGCCGGGCAGGAAAGAAATATCCGGAAGCCCAGGCAGCCCAGCCTCAGTCAGGGACCAGCAGAGAGTGAGAGAGAGGCCCCTGCAAAGGGGTTGACGTGAGGAGCACATTTTAAAGGAACCATTAGCACGAGGGCTCAGGAACCACGGGGACACTGGAAAGCTGTCACCCCCAGGCCCACGGGCCGAGTGCGGGGCCGCAGCACTGAGACCTGGCTCTCCCAAAACCACGCGTGGCGGTCTCCTGCGTGGATGGCCGCTCCCTCTTCGCCAGCACCCGCTGGCCGCCAGCCCCAGGCACGAGGCCGGGACTCTGCCATGAGAGTGAGAAACCCAAAGGGGCGGCGAGCCGTGACCGTCTGGCTGTGCTGATCACCCGTGGCCGCCGGCGGAGGAGCCCAGTCAGCACGCGCTCGCTGGGTTTCCTCGCCCGCCACCCCCAGGGAGGAGGGGGAGGTCCAGCTTGGCTACACCGCCAGGGGCCGGGACGCCCTGTACGCTGGGGCGTCTCTCAGGCCCAGAGCACCACACTCCTCCCACAGTCTTCCTGGGTCGGGTGTCTAACCAGAGGAACGCTGTCCAGGCCAGAGAAGGGGAGGGTGGATGAGTACGAGCCCCGCAGGCTGTCTGATACCAACGAGGGAGAGAAAGGACGATGGAGGAGGCAAAGACCAGGGGCAGGAAGGAATGGCCCACTCCCCTCCCTGCCATCTGGCGGGGGCTCCTCTTGGCAGACCAGCTCTGACGCCTCAAGGTCGGGCCCAGCTGGGCAGCTGTGGTGTGACTGGGAAGGGGTGGCTGTCACAGGGGGCCTGTGCCACGGTGAGCCCGCGGCTATGTCTGAGGGCGCCGGCTCTGGGCTCATTCTGGAGCAGGTCGGCTTCAGGCTAAACCAGGCCCGTGCCCAGGCTCTTCCCTGAGAAAGGAGCCGGGGGAAGGGAAGGTTGACCACCGCCATGAAACTGCTCAGCAGGATGCCGCCCGGCCCGTGCAATTCCCTCTGGTTTCCCCACCCCTCCCGTGTGCTCTGCAGGCACCATCACGGTTCAGCTACAGAAAGACAGCCTGGGCCACCTCAGCCTGGTCGCCACCCCGCTGCGGGAGGACCAGGAGTCCTTCCAGGTCTCCGCGGGGCCGGCGGTGGCGATATGGCAGAAGCTCCAGCAGACCACT